AAAGTCAGCTGGGTGCGGTGGCTCACGCTTGTAATCCTAGCACTTAGGGAGGATGAGTCAGGCAGACTGCCTGAGCTTGAGAGTTTGAGACCAGCCTGGGCAACACAGTGGAACCCCCATCTCTACTAAAATACAAAAAAATTTTAGCTGGGCCTGGTGGCAGGTGCCTATAGTCCCAGCTACTCAGGAGGCTGAGACAGGAGAATCGCTTGCATCCAGGAGGTGGAGGTTGCAGTGAGCCAAGATCGTGCCCTGCACTCCAGTGTGGGTGACAGAATGAGACTCCATCTCCAAAAAAACAAAAACTAAAATAAATTTTAAAAAAACCAAAAGAAGTTTCCTTCCACTCTTATTTTCCAGCCACCCATTTTTTTTTCCAGAATCAATAATATTTATCAGTTTGCCATATATACTTGCAGAGATATTCCATGCAGTTACAAACATATATGCAGGGATTGTCTCTCTTTTTTTTTTTTACACAAATGATAGCTTACTACACAAATCACTCTGCACTTCACCTTTTTCTTTTAATCATATATCTTGCAAAGCTGCCTTATTATTTTTAATGGATGTTTATAACAGATGTCTCACAAGTTATTTGGCCATTACTCTATTATTGTTTATATTAAGTTGTTTTCAGTCTTTTGCTATTACATACCATATTACTACATACTATAATCTTGTCTATGTGTCTTTTTAGAAGTATGTGATCACATCTCTGACATACATAGCTAGAAGTAGAATTGGTTGGTCAGAGCATGTGCCTTTAAAATAATAATAGATGTTGTTGCCAAACTGCCCTCCCTGGAGGGTGATATATGAGAATACTATTTCCTTATACCCTAGTCAACCCCTGAGTTATTTGCCTTTTTTTCCCCTAAGGGTCAAAGCATGATAATCTTTTTGATCTTTATCAATCTCACAAGAAAGGAAATTGTCAGCAGAGAGCAGTTGCTCACTCCTATAATCCCAGCACTTTGGGCGCCACGGTGGGTGGATCACCTGAGGTCAGGAGTTCAAGACTAGCCTGACCAACATGGTGAAATCCTGTCTCTAATAAAAATACAGAAATTAGCCTGGCATGGTGGCATGTGCCTGTAATCCCAGCTACTCAAGAGGCTGAGGCAGGAGAATTGCTTGAACCTGGGAGGCCGAGGTTGGGGTGAGCCGAGATCGAACCACTGGACTCCAGCCTGGGTGACAGAGCAAGACTCCAACTCAAAAAATGAAAATAAAAAAGGAAATTGTCTAATTATACCTTTAACTTGCTCTTTTGAATGACATTGAATGTCATGTTTAAAAGGCATTCATAGTTGTTTTGTGTGTGTACATGCATAAACGATTTCTTCAAACCCATTGCTCATTGTTCCGTTGGGCTGCTGCTGTTGTTTCTTACCGATTTGTAGAAACTTTTTTTTTTTTGGGGGACGGAGTTTCACTCTAGTCACCCAGGCTAGAGTGCAGTGGTATTATCTCAGCTCACTGCAACCTCTGCCTCCCCCGTTCAAGTGATTCTTCTGCCTCAGCCTCCCGAGTAGCTGGGATTATAGGCATGTGCCACCACACCCAGCTAATTTTTGTATTTTTAGTAGAGACCATGTTGGTCAGGCTGGTCTCGAACTCCTGACCTCAGGTGATCCACCCGCCTCAGCCTCCCAAAGTGCTGGGATTATAGGCATCAGTCACCTTGCCCAGCCTTGGAACTGTTTATATATTAGGAAACTTAGTATTCTAATATGAACTACAACAATTTTTTCAGTTTGTCATCTTTATTTAGACTTGGCTTGTGGTAGTTTTTGCCAGGCTAATTTTTTAAATGTAGTTTAATATATAAACCTTCTATAGATTTGTATTATAAGGATACCAGGAGAAAAGGGCTTTGAGATTTGTTTTTGAACATAAACTCAATATTTTATTGTCTTCATAAAAGATGACACTTAGAACTGGATCACTTGGCCGTTTCTCTTCTTATCTCCTCCCAGTTCAAAATGTTTGCATCTTTTTTTTTTTTTTTTTTTTTGAGACGAAGTTTCGCTCTTGTTACCCAGGCTGGAGTGCAATGGCACGATCTTGGCTCATCGCAACCTCCGCCTCCTGGGTTCAAGCAATTCTCCTGCCTCAGCCTCCTGAGTAGCTGGAACTACAGGCGCGCACCACCATGCCCAGCTAATTTTTGTATTTTTAGTAGAGATGGGGTTTCACCTTGTTGACCAGGATGGTCTCGATCTCTTGACCTCGTGATCCACCCGCCTCGGCCTCCCAAAGTGCTGGGATTACAGGCGTGAGCCACCGCGCCTGGCCTGTTTGCGTCTTTTAATAGCCAGCATTCTCTTAGATCTGCAGCTGGGCTCAAAGCCTTAGCACAATCTTCTTTGTAGTTTTAGCCTTTTTCCGGAAAATCGGCTTAGTTTGCCCACCATAGCCACTCAGCTTCCTGTCATAACGCTGCTTTCCCTGGGCATACAGAGAAGCCTTGCCCTTCTTGTACTGTGTCACTTTGTGGGGTTGGTGCTGCCACACTTCTTACAGAAAGTCCGGTGGGTTTTTGGAACGTTCACCATGTTTGCGTGAGCACTAATGGCACGGAAAGCAGGGCTTTGAGATTAAATCTAAAGTGTGCTAGAAAGGACTATTCTTTTGTTTGTTTGTTTGTTTGTTTGTTTGTTTGTTTATTTCAAGACAGAGTCTCTGTTACTCAGGCTGGAGTGCAATGGTGTGATCTCAGTTCATTGCAACCTCCACCTCCTGGGTTCAAGAGAGTCTCCTGCCTCAGCCTCCCAAGTAGCTGGGATTACAGGTACACACCACCATACCCAGCTAATTTTTGTATTTTTAGTAGAGACAGGGTTTTGCTATGTTGGCCAGACTGGTTTCAAACTCCTGACCTTAATGATCCCCCTGCCTTGGCTTCCCAAAGTGCTAGGATTACAGACATGAGCCATCGCACCTGACCTAGAAAGGACTTTTTCAATGAAAATATTGAATAAGATTAGGACTGTTTTTAAGTTGTCACTGATAATATAATAATAATATGTCTTCCCTCCAACCTGCCTTCTAAAACTTGTTCCTCCCATAGTCTACCACATTGTGGTAAATGCCAACTTTATCCTTCTAGTTGATAAAGGATAACTGAAATTATCCTTGGCTCTTCTCTTTCTCTCACATCCTGTATTTTACCCATCAGCAGATCTTGTCAGTTCTACCTTTAAAATATCTCTAGAGTCTGACTTCTTTTCATAACCTTGCCTACCACCCTGGTCTAAGCTACCATCACAGATTATGGTAGAGGCTCCTAAAATGATTTTTCCTATTTCATTCATTCATTCATTTGGTGCCGATTTTTCTGTTTCTATCCGGGTCTTTCCACAGTTTACTCTCAAGAAGTCAGAGAGCTCCTCGACCCTTCCCTCAGATGGAGGTCTCGCTCTGTCGCTGAGGCTGGAGTGCAGTGATCCACCCACTTCAGCCTCCTTAAATGCTGAGATTTTAGGTACAAGCCACCATGCCTGGCCAAGAGCTCCTTTTAAAATACAATTCAGGCTGGGTGCAGTTCATGAGGAATTTTTCCCCATGACCCAGGCTGGGTGTGGTGGCTCACACCTGTAATCCCAGCACTTTGGGAGGCCAAGACAGGTGGATCACCTGAGGTTAGGAGTTCAAGACTAGCCTGGCCAACATGGTAAAAACCCATGTCTACTAAAAATACAAAAAAATAGGGGACATGGTGGCAGACACCTGTAATCTCAGCTACATAGGAGGCTGAGGCAGGAGAATCACTTGAACCTGGGAGGCAGAGCTTACATTGAACTGAGATCTTGCCACTGAACTCCAGCCTGGGCAACAAGAGTGAAACTTTGTCTCAAAAAAAAAAAAAAGAAAGAAAGGAAAAAGAATACAATCCACTCTGCTCAAAAGCCTGCAAAATCTTTCCATCTAACTTAGGGCAGAAGATGAAGCTCTCATAATGGCTTATGGCCCACTGAGATCCTCTGACTCGTCTCCCACCACACACTGCTCTCATTGTTATTTATTACTTGAACACAGCAAGCTCTGGCCCCTGGGCCTTTGCGCATCTCCTACCCCTCTCTGAAATTCTCTTCCCTTAGCAGCTGCAAGCTCATTCCTTCACCCCTTTCAGGATTTTTCTCAAATGTCACCTCTCAGTGGGATCCTCTGTAACCACCTTGTTCAAAATTTCACCTCCCCTCTAACCACTTTGGTACTCCCTATCCCCCTTTCCACTCTACTTCTCTCCACAGCTCACGTATCAAGTGACAACCTATATATGTTGCATATCAATTGATTGATTGATTGTCTTTCTCCCTTACTCCTGCGCTCAATTTAAGCTCCTTGAAGGCAGTAGTTTATTTCTGTTTTGACCATTTCTGTCCCTAGCCCTTGAACAGTGCCAGTCACAAAACTATGATCAAATGGATCTGGAATTGTACCCAAAGGATTTATTTATCTAATTCAATTCCACAAAAGAGTACTGAAAAATAGCTATGTGAATGGCTCTATGCTTAAAATAGTGAAGGTTGTGAAGAAAACCAAAACCAGACCTTACCCATATGGAAAAAGTTTCCAAGGAGAAAAGACATTGGAGATTCTCCTAAAAGCCGGAATAAAATTAGAGTAAAAAGGAAAGGCAGCCCTTTAAGGTAGAAAACATAAGATGAAGAAAGATACTTATGTAATTATGAAAGCTCAAGCTTTTCCAGGTAGTTCTCTTAGAACCATGTGTATGACATTGGTACTAAGAAATTAATGCTGGATGGCCAGGTGCTGTGGCTCATGCCTGTAATCCCAGCACTTTGGGAGGCCAAGGTGGGTGGGTCACTTGAGGTCAGGAGTTCAAGACCAGCCTGAACATGGTGAAGCTCTGTCTCTACTCAAAAAAAAAAAAAAAAAAAAAATTAGCCCAGCATGGTGGCACCTGCCTGTAATCCCAGCTACTCAGGAGGCTGAGGCAGGAGAATTGCTTGAACCTGGGAGGTGGAAGTTTCAGTGAGTCGAGATTGTGCCTCTGCTCTCCAGCCTGGGCAAGAGAATGAGATTTCATCTCAAAAAAGAAAGAAAGAAATTAATGCTGGAAAATTAAGCAAGCTAAAGCTTACTTTTAAAATATGCCAGGATAAGGTTATATTTAATTACATATGCAGTAGGGAACCATTGAGAAGAAATGAGCAGAAATAAATATGATGAGAAATAGGTTTAAAATGAATAGCCTACAAGCATGTCAAGATGCCTTGGGGCTAGAAAGGCTATCAGAGTCTCATGCTATGGTGTCAGTGAGAGAGCCTGAAATAAGTGGTGGCAATTTTAGAAAGGACTGATATGAAAACCCTGTGTACATTGACTAGACATAAGTTGGCAAGTGAATGGTTATAGAAGGTAAAAGAAGACAGAGGGCATGGAGATTTTAAGTCCAGGTGATACTAGTAGCATGTGCTAGATGCTATTGGTTCCTAATGGAACAGGTCTTAGATTCTCCAACACCTCTGTCTTAGTCTATTCACAGTGCTATGAAGAAATACCTGAGACTGGATAATTTATAAAGAAAGAGGTTATATTTGGTTCACAGTTCTGCAGGCTGTATAAGACGCATGGCACCAGCATCTGCTTCTAATGAGGGCCTCAGGAAGTTTCCACTCACCACAGAAGGCGGAAGGGATCAGGCATCACATGACATGAGAAAGGAAGCACAAGAGCGAGGGGAAGGTACCAGGCTCTTTTTAAGAGCCAGCTCTTGAGGGAACCTAGTAGAGCAAGAGAGAACTCACTCATTATTGTGAAGATGGCACCAAGCCATTCATGAGGGATTTGCCCCCATGACCCAAACACTAGGACCCACTCCAATATTGAGGATCAAATTTCAACCTGAGATTTGGAGAAAAATATCTAAACTATATTAATCTTCTCTAGTGGTTTGATGCATTTTTCTGTAATGAGATTTTGAAATCATTCCCCGGATCCTCAGCAGAGAAGGCCAGCAACACCCGAGGTCTCAGTTCTTAAGGAAATCACTGTTACTTTTTTTTTTTTTTGATGAAGTCTGACTTGGTCACCCAGGCTGGAGTGCAGTGGAGCGATATTGGCTCACTGCAACCACCACCTCCAGGGTTCAAGTGATTCTCCTGCCTTAGCCTCCTGAGTACCCGGGATTTCAGGAATGCCCCACCATGCCCGGCTAGAGACGGGGTTTCACCATGTTGGTTAGGCTGGTGTTGAAATCCTGACCTTGTGATCCATCTGCCTCGGCCTCCCAAAGTGCTGGGATTACAGGCATGAGCCACCATGCCCAGCCTGTTCCTTTTATGCTAGTAATAGGAATACATAGATTAAGCACTGAAGAGCCAGGTTTGTGGTAAATTGAATGGAGCAAAATGCTTCACAAAGAGGGGGATGAGACGATCTGTCTTTTCTGTCCCTTTAAAGCCTTATGGGATGGCATTGCTCAAGCTGCAGCTGAGCCGTGGAATTTGACAAAAACGTGCATGGCTATTTGGCAAGGCATCATCCAACAGCTGAAACTGAATCTATAGCTGCTCCAGCCTCTGAGGATTGCTCATTGTCCTCACTTGTGGGAAAGTCAGCCCAATGGAAACATGCATTTTACACAATGGGTGAGATATAGGCAGCCCAGAAAAAGTCAGAGACCCAGATGCTTTCCAGTCCCTTCCCAGCCCCTTCCTTGCCTACACTCAGCCTAGATTTCTTTTTTCTTTTTTGAGATGGAGTTTTGCTCTCGTTGCCCAGGCTGGAGTGTAATGGTGCAATCTCAGCTAACCACAACCTCTGCCTCTCAGTTTCAATTGATTCTCCTGCCTCAGCCTCCTGAGTAGCTGGGATTACAGGCATGTACCACCACAGCTGGCTAATTTTGTATCTTTAGTAGAGACAGGGTTTCTCCATGTTGGTCAGGCTGGTCTCAAACTCCCAGCCTCAGGTGATCCGCCCGCCTCGGCCTCCCAAAATGCTGGGATTATAAGCATGAGCCACTGAGCCCAGCCCCTAGATTTATTACACAGGCATCAAGAGATTAGACAAACGCCTTGTCCTGTACAAAACAAACAAACAAACAAACCAAAAAAACCCATGTGGGGCCGGGCGCAATGGCTCACGCCTATAATCCCAGCACTTTGGAAGGCCAAGGTGGGTGGATCATGAGGTCAAGAAATCAAGACCATCCTGGTCAACAAGGTGAAATTCCATCTCTACTAAAATACAAAAATTAGCTGGGCATGGTGGTGCACCCCTGTAGTCCCAGCTACTCGGGAGGCTGAGGCAGGAGAATTGCCTGAACCCAGAAGGTGAAGGTTGCGGTGAGCCGAGATCGCGCCATTGCACTCCAGTCTGGGTAACAAGAGCGAAACTCCATCTCAAAAAAAAAAAAACAAACCATGTGATTCAGAGAAACAGAATGTTAGAAGACTTTACATTTACCAGGAAAACAGATTTTGGAAATTTTTCTTTAATAATCTTGTGCCTTCCAATGACTTTTTTAGGTTTGTCAATTTTCAAAAAATGATTGCTGAAACCAGAAAATAAGATTTTATTGGAACACAGCCATACCTATTTGCTTATAAAGGAATTAAAACTTCAGGCCAGTCTCGGTGACTCTACAGCTGTAATCCCAGCACTTTGGAAGACTGAGATGCGTGGATCACGAGGTCAGGAGTTCAAGATCAGCTTGGCCAAGATAGTGAAACCCTGTCTCTACTAAAAGTACAAAAATTAGCCGGGCATGGTGGCACATGCCTGTAATCCCAGCTACTTGGGAGGCTGAGGCAGAGAATTGCTTGAACCTGGAAGGTGGAGGTTGCAGTGAGCCAAGATCAGACCACTGCACTCCACCCTGGGCAACAGAGCCAGACTCCTTCTCAGAAAAATAAAAAAGGAATTAAAACTTCAACAGCTTGTAGCTTAACGTTGAATTCATTCTTGGCTTGGGCTACAGGTCACTGATGGTGGCCACGTACCCTGGAGTGTTTCTTGGTATTGCCAAACACAGCCATTTCCCAGTGGACTTCCTTGGCCCCATTTTCCACTGTGAAAGATAAATCACCCCCAATTACTGCCTTAATTGAATGGAATATTTGAGGTATTTGAGTCGGCATGATTATATCTAGCATCAAAAGCAAAGAACCTAGTGTCTTTGACTCATCTCCAAATGTTAAATTCCAAAAATAAAAGATACTCAGTGATTAAATAGTTTATTGTAAGTTAAGTTTACTGCAAAATTTAATGCACTGAAGTTCTGTGCTCCCACTCCTCCCAGCATATATAGAACTCTTGCTGTACATTTCTTGAAGAAATACACTATAGATAATTATTAAACATCAGAGCTAGAAAGGCTCTTAGAGGTTCCATTTTCCTCTCTAACATTTCATCTTACAGTTGATAAAACTGAGGCTCAGAGAGGTAAAGTTACATTTTACCACTAGGCACAGTGGCTCATGCCTGTAATCCCAGCACCTTGGGAGGCCAAATCACCTGAGGTCAGGAGTTCGAGGTGCCTGGCCAATATAGTAAAACATGTCTCTACTAAAAATAACAAAATTAGCCTGGCCTGGTGGCAGGAGCCTGTAATCCCAACTACTTGGGAGGCTGAGACAAAAAAATTACTTGAACCCAGGAGGCGGAGATTGCAGTGAGCCAAGACCCCACCACTGCACTCCAGCCTCGGTGACAGAGCAAGATTCTGTTTAAAAAAAAAAAAGGTTACATTTTACCAAACCCTATAACAGGCTGAGAAGAATCTAGTTCCTCTCAGCCATGGGCTTTTGAGCTCTATCATGTTTACAATAGGATAGGTAAGCAATACTGTTAGCAGTATGATCTTTCTGCAGAATAACTCATAAACAATATAGTCATTTTTCAGAGGAAATGCACCAGAGAATCTGGATCAGAAGAAACCTTTGGAAACACACAGTTCAACTTTCTAGTACATCAGAAATTCCATTAGAGTTTGTAGGTAGAGGGTATACTAGTTAGATTAATACCCCTCTTGCTGCTGTAAGAAAACAACTTCTAAACCTCGGTGGCTAAACAAAACAAAAGTTTATTTCTCACTCACTTAACCATACAGATGTTCCTGACTGGTGGCAGCCTTCCATGTGGTGATTCAGGAACCCAGGCTCCTTTAATCTGATGGCTCCTCCAGCTGTAGGATTTCCTCTGCAGGCAGGATGAAGGGCAGAGAAAGAATAAGTAGAGAAAGCTTCTTAATCTTCTTAGTCTTGAGAGACTACATTTCATTTCCTCTCACATTCCACTGATGAGAACTATCCACATGGCCCTGTCAAGTGGCAAACAGGCTGGGAAATGCAGTTCATGGCTGGACACGGCCTGCGGGCACTGTGGAAGCAAGAGCACAAATGTTTGGTGAACACTTCCGGAAGCAAGGGGCTGGGCCTCTCCCCCTACATCCATCAGTCACTGGCCCAGATTATCTGTGGGGTGGGGAGCACGTTAATCTTTCAGTCATCTGTGGCTTAGGCAGCTCCCTTCAGCCAAATCCAAGTCTCTGGGGAGGAGCACATATGTAAACCATTAGCAGCCCATGCTGGCACATCAGCCTGTGTAGGGGGATTTACAAGGGCACCAATAGCATCTGCAACAGTCTACCGTTTGTACCATTCAGCTCCAAATGTTTCTTTTGTTAATGTCAGTCCATCTGGCTGCAGGTTGTCTGGAATTCTGGCTGGTGCAATTTCTGGGTCCGTATAAGAGAAAGACTAGCGGAACAATCTTAACAACCCCGACTGCTGCAGCTGGTCCCGAGGCTATAATAAATCCAGTGTTGCCCAGGATGAATTGTTGCTCTTTGCAGAATGAAAGGGGTCTGATCTAATCATTTTGCCACCAAGTAGCAGGTTGGTATTCTCAAGTGGCTGTACTGCCTGGAGGGCTCAATCTTGCTCTTTGCTCCTGTGGCTGGACACTCAGCAGCAACATAACTGGATCAGCATTGTTGAGAGGGAACCCATGCAGCTCAACTCACACATAACCCGAATTGCTGCCACCACAGCTACTCTGCTTATAGGCCACTGTGCAAGCACTGTTGTGGCTGAGGATAGAAGCTAGCCGGCATATCTACTACGTGACTTAGCTTGTTTAGAACCTTACTAGCAGTGCATGATCCCTGGTGGACATTAGCTGGCATTTCTTGCCCACTCCCATCAATCAACTCACAGGCTTCTCCAGGCATTCTTTTTTTTTTTTTTTTTTTTTGAGACAGAGTCTTGCCCTGTCGCCCAGAGTGCAATGGTGCCATCTCAGCTCCCTGCAACCTCTGCCTCCTGGGTTCAAGCAATTCTCCTGCCTCAGACTCTCAAGGAGCTGGGATTACAGGTGCATGCCACCATGCCCAGCTAATTTTGTATTTTTACAAAATACAAAGTTAGAGTAGAGACAGGGTTTCACCATGTTGGCCAGGCTGGTCTCAAACTCCTAAACTCAGACCTTGCCCTCCCAAAGTGTTGGGATATCGTGAGCCACCATGCCAGAGCTGGTTTTTTGTTGTTATTGTTTGTTTGAGATGGAGTTTCGCTGTGTCACACAGGCTGGAGTGCAGTGGCAAAAATCTCAGCTCACTGCAAACTCCATCTCCTGGGTTCAAGTGATCCTCCTACCTCAGCCTCCTGAGTAACTGAGGATTACAGGCATGCACCACCACACTCAACTAATTTTTGTATTTTTAGTAAAGATGGGGTTTCACCATGTGGGCAAGGCTGGTCTCTCACCATTTTGGTGAGGCTGGTCTCAAACTCCTGACATCAAGGGATCTGTCCACCTTGGCCTCTCTCAAAATGCTGGGATTACAAGCATGAACCACTGCACCCGGCCCTAAAGCTGTTTTTTGAATAGTGTATAGTTCTGTTGCCAGTGGCATGGCCTTGCCCCAGAACCCTTCTCATTTGCCCTGAGATTCTCGTATTTGAGCTTTTCAAATATTTTAAATTGCATCTTTATCTACTACAGATATATCTACTACCTTAGAATCTCCTTGGTCATATAGCCCAAGTGGCAATGTTTCTTGCAGTGCAAACTAAATCTACTATAGAGCCTTTTTTAAATCTGAGTTTCATTTAAACTGGTAACTTTAAGGCTGGGTGTGGTGGCTCACACCTGTAATCTCAACACTTTGGGAGGCCAAGGTGGGCAGATCACCTGAGGTCAGGAGCTTGAGATGAGCCTGACCAACATGGTGAAACCCTGTCTCCACTAAAAGTACAAAAATTAGACAGGGATGTTGGTGTGAACCTGTAATCCCAGCTACTAGGGAAGCTGAGGCAGAAGAATCGCTTGAACCCAGGAGGTGGAGGTTGCGGTGAGCCAAGATTGCATCGTTGCATTCCAGCCTGGGTGACAAAAGCAAGACTCCATCTCAAAAAAAAGTAATAATAATATAAATAAATAAACTGGTAACCTTCATTATCATCTAATAAATGGATCAAAGAAGTGCTCCCTAAATGTGATATATACCTCCAATATGCATAGTGGCCTACCATTCTCTTTGCTTTTTTCTTAGTGGTAGGGAATGGAAGGCACAATAGCTTGTCCTTTGCCAGAGAGGACTTGTCCTGGCATGCCTCAGACACCGGACCCCTATGAACTTCACTAATGCATGCGCAGACTCCTTCAAGGGCTGGCTTGTCTTCTACCTTCTGAAGTGCATGTGTCTTATCAGCAATCCAGGGTCCTTCTTATCATGCTCACTTATCAATGTAACTGCTGAATGTGAAATTCCGTGGAATGGCCACATGATCTTGGTCCCTTTGGACTGCATTGTGATGGAGAATAGGGGCATTAACATAGTCCTGGCACAAAGTCATGAATTATTCAGTTACATTAATTTATATTTATATAGTTGCCAGTTCAATAGATACCCACTGCATATCAAAGTCTATGTTCATCTGTTCTAGTAAAAATACTACTTCCAGTCCAAGAGCTTTAATTGGGGCTACTATTTGTTGAGTTTCTGGTAGTCCATGTCATCTGGCACAATTCTTTGATTTTTACAGAAACCAAGTTATTGAATTAAATGAGGATATGTGAGAATCATTGTCTCCGAATCCCTTAATCTTTGAAGATGGTACTAATGTTTACTGTTCCACTAGGCTACAATATTGTTTTCATGATATTGCCATTTGTTGACTTCAGTGGTTTTATTTGTTTGTTTGTTTTTTGTTTTGAGACAAGGTCTCACTCTGTCACCCAAGCAGGAGTGCAGGGGCACAATCATGGCTCCCTTTAGCTTTGACATTTCTGGCTTAAGCAATCCTCCCACTTCAGCCTCCTGAGTAGCTGGGACTATAGGCATGCAGCAACACATCCAGCTAATTTTTGTATTTCTTTTTTTTTTTGAGACGGAGTTTTGCTCTTGTTACCCAGGCTGGAGCACAATGGCACGATCTCGGCTCACTGCAACCTCCGCCTCCTGGGTTCAGGCATTCTCCTGCCTCAGCCTCCGGAGTAGCTGGGATTATAGGCACGCGCCACTATGCCCAGCTAATTTTTTGTATTTTTAGTAGAGACAGGGTTTCACCATGTTGACCAGGATGGTCTCAATCTCTTGACCTCGTAATCCACCTGCCTCGGCCTCCCAAAGTGCTGGGATTACAGGCTTGAGCCACCGCGCCCGCCTAATTTTTGTGTTTTTTTTATAGAGATGGGGTTTCACCATCCCAGACTGGTCTCAAACTCCTGGGCTCAAGCAATCCTTCCACTTTGGCCTCACAAAATGCTGGAATTACAGGCATAAGCCATCGCACCCAGCCTATTTTCAGTTTTTAAACTTCTTATTTTGAAAGAATTACAGACTCACAAGAAGTTGAAAAAACAGTACCGTGGTCCTGCATGCCCAGGTTTCCCATTTTCTCCACACACTCAAATGCCAGAGCCATTCCACAATTTAACACAAATTTTTTTTTTTTAAGACAGAGTTTCACTCTGTCACCAAGGCTGGAGTGTTGTGGTGTGATCTCAACTCATTGCAATCTGCCTTGAAGTGATTCTCCTGCCTTGGCCTCCCGGGTAGCTGAGATTACAGGCATGTGCCACCATGCCTGGCTAATTTTTGTATTTTTAGTAGAGACGAGGTTTCGCTACATTGGTCAGGCTGGTCTTGAACTCCTGACCTCAGGTGATCCACCCACATCGGCCTCCCAAACTGCTAGTTTAACACAACTTCTAACTACTCTTCATCCCCAGTAAACAAACTATAGGTGAACAATTTAGCAATTGCATCATCACAATAAATAAACGGGGTTCTCACTGCCATCTAGTGGACGAATGATTCAATGTCCAAATCTGAATCTAGTCCGTTTCTAGGCCTACTTCTGCACTACCTTTAGGTTATGTCCCCTGTGGGTAAAAACTGAAGCAAGAAATTCTTGCTTCGGTGATTTCAAGAAGAAATCTGGGAATAAGAAAAGTAGAAGACAGCAGGGGAAAATTTAGGCAAAGGTATGACTTCAGAAGTTTAGCCTCTGGCCGGGCACGGTGGCTCACACCTGTAATACCAGCACTTTAGGAGGCTGACACTGGCCGATCACTTGAGGTCAGGAGTTAAAGACCAGGCTGGGCAACATGCTGAAACCCTATCTCTAGTACAAATACAAAAATTAGCTGGGTATGGTGGTGCATGCCTGTAATCCCAACTACTTGGGAGGCTGAGGCAGGAGAATCACTTGAACCCAGGAGGCAGAGGTGGCATTGAGCTGAGGTCACACCACTACACTCCAATTTGGGCAACAGAGTGGTGAGACTCAGTCAAAAAAAGAAAAGCTAGTTTAGATTCCACCTGATCCCACAGCAAGCCCTTAACTGTTAATCGTACCACAGAAGTTGTCCCACCCAGAGCCAAGGAAGCTGCTATATCCCTTCATCAGTGAATCTTTGGCCCTGGCTCCCCAGCAGGAGAATGGAACCTCTCAGCCATCATCTCCAGGACCACTTCCAGGGGAGGAGGCTCCTCTCAGCCAACAACACTCCTCTGTGAAAGAACAATGGCCTGAGCCATTAGCAGCCAAGGCCCCTAGTAGCTGGAGGATGAATGCACAGCCTGGTGAGGAGATATGGGTAGGGCGCCCAGCAGCATCTGCTCTACCTTCCTGAGAAGATAACATTCAATTTAAAAACTGAACAATGTGGCCAGGTGCGGTGGCCCACACCTGTAATCCCAGCACTTTGGGAGGCTGAGACTTGAGGTCAGGAGTTGGAGACCAGCCTGGACAACAGAGTAAAACCCTGTCTCTACTAAAAATACAAAAATGAGCCAAGTGTGGTGGTGTGCACCTGTAATCCCAGCTACTCCAGAGGCTGAGGCACAAAGATTGCTTGAACATGGGAGACAGAAGTTGCAGTGAGCTGAGATCGCACCACCGCACTCCAGCCTGGGTGACAAGTGAGATTCTGCCTCAAAAAAAAAAAAAGAAGAAAAACTGAATGATGCCAGGCATGCTGGCTTATACCTGTAATCCCAGCGCTTTCGGAGGTTGAGGTGGGAGGATCACTTGGGCCTGGGAGGTCGAGGCTGCAATGACAGCCTGGGTGACAGAGTGAGACCCTGTCTCAAATTAATGCATAAATACATAATACGTAAATAACTGAATGTTAAGAAAGAGGCAGCCATGTGACGATCTCAGGAAGAGGCTGTTCTAAGATGGGGACAAACTCAAGCTATTTGAAGTACAGGACAAAGGTCAACATCAATGGAATGTAGTGAAACAGAGGAAACAGAGAGAAACTGGGCTTGTGAATCTTTTTTTTTTTTTTTTATGGGGGAAGGGGAGGTGCCGGGTGAGAGTCAGGGAACTTTTTTTTTTCTTTGAGACAGGAGTCTCACTACATTGTCCAGGCTGGTCTCCAACTCCTGGCTCAAGCAGTCTTCCTGCCTCAGCCTCCTCAGTAGCCGGGATGACAGGTGCATGCCCAGCTGTGGGTTTGTGAATCCAAGAGGGCGGTGTGAGATAATTGCAGTAGGTGGCTTTTATTCTGACTACTGCTTCCTTAGGGCACTTTATATCTCCAAAGCAGGTTGACAAAGTTATTCATTTTCTAAATAAATAAGTGATTCGGCCGGGCGCGGTGGCTCACACCTGTAATCCCAGCACTTTGGGACTCCGAGGTGGGCAGATCACAAGGTCAAGAGATCAAGACCATACTGGCCAACATAGTGAAACCCTGTCTCTACTAAAATATAAACAATTAGCTGGGCGTGGTGGCGCGCATCTGTAGTCCCAGCTGCTTGGGAGGCTGAGGCTGGAGAATTGCTTGAACCGGGGAGGTGGAGGTTGCAGTGAGAGGAGATCGCACCACTGCACTCCAGCCTGGCGCCTGGTGACAGAACGAGACTCTGTCTCAAAATAAAATAAATAAGTGATTCATGCTGGGAATTGCTTTTTTAATATGAGAAATGAGAGTCATAGTATTAATTTGATTTGTACTGAGACACGAAAGTTTGAGTTAGTGAGTTACATGATTAGACATGTCATTCCTACTTGGATTAAAAATACACACATAGTTCATAGCTTGTTCTAAATGTATCAGGTCTTAAATATTGCCACTCTCATGAATCTTTAGAAGATAACAAAGCAAGTCCAATCTTGACCTTGGGTTCATTGTCTATTCCCTCCTACTTGGGCTGTATTTAAGTGAGCCACTTCTGAAGGGGAAAACAGATTAGTCATACTAAATGTTTCATTCAAAAACTTCACCATAAAAGAAAGCTCCCTACATCTTACTACTTCTGCCACCACACCTTGATTTCTTTCATTTCTTTCTTTTTTTTTTTTTGAGACAAAGTTTTGCTCTTGTTGCCCAGGCTAGAGTTCAATGGTACAACCTCGGCTGACTGCAATCTTCGCCTCCTGGGTTCAAGTGATTCTCCTGCCTCAGCCTCCAGAGTAGCTAAGATTACAGGCACTTACCACCACGCCCAGCTAATTTTTTGTATTTTTAGTTGAGACAGTTTCACCATGTTGGGCAGGCTGGTCTTGAACTCCTGACCTCAGGTGATCCACTTGCCTCGGCCTCCCAAAGTGCTAGGATTACAGCTGTGAGCCACCGTGCCTGGCCGATTTCTTTTCCTCTCCGTATCACCATCTGTCTTTTTAGAAAAATGTTTTATTCCCTTTTATTTATTTTTTATTTTTTAAGATGGGGTTTCACCATGTTGGTCAGGCTGGTCTTGAACTCTCAACCTCAGGTGATCTGCCCGCCTCGGCCTTCCAGAGTGCTGGGATTACAGGCGTGGGCCACTGCACCCGGCCTATTTCCTTTTATTGAAGGTTAAAATAACTTTCTTCAATACTGCCTTCCTGACCTCCTTTATAAGGATAACTCCCAAGTGCAATTCAGCTCTTCTGCCACGGGTCCAACCTGTGTCCATGTGCCCAAGTCTCCATTGTGTACTTCATTTGCTTCAATATAAAATGTCACGAGCAGCCCTTATTCTCCATTCACGTGGCTTTGATGTGAATCTGGTACTTCTTACCTGGATGTGTTTCCAAACACGTGTCCTTTTCTCTTTGTTTCCAATTCATCCTTTGAACTACTACCAGATTAATTTTTGTCAAATCCTGTTCTGATCCGAAACATCCTTTCTAATCCACAGTAACCTATGTCAATCACTTTTTTGGGGGGGGGGTTAAATTTTTTTTTTTTTTTTTACAGAATGGATCACTTAGATTTCTTATCTAACAGTATCTTTTATTATTCTCCAACAGAAAACTTCTGGCCCAGGATGTTTTCACCTTCCCATAAATACAGTGTTTTGTTCTGTTTGTTCTTTTCTTCCTCATTGCCTCTATTCGTGCCTCTCATTGCCTCTGTTTTTCCTCATGTAGAAAGTCCACTGCAGTTTTCATTTCCTCAAATCCTTTTCTTTTTAACAGAGATGGGTTTTCACTATGTTGCCCAGGTTGGCCTTGAACACCTGGACTCAAGTGATCCTCCCACTTTGGCCTTCTGAGTACCTGGAACTAAAGGTATATGCCACCATGCCCAGCTCTAATCTCCTAAAATCCTGTGCCCTCGGCCAGGCATGGTGGCTCACGCCTGTAACCCCAGTACTTTGGGGGGCGGATCACGAGGTCAGGAGTTCGAGACTAGCCTGACCAACATGGTGAAACCCCCGTCTATGCTAAAAATACAAAAATTAGCTGGGCGGTGGCACATGCCTGCAATCCCTCCACTCAGGAGGCTGAGGCAGGAGAATCGCTTGCATTCGGGCGGCGGAAGTTACAGTGAGCCGAGATCGCGCCACTGCACTCCAGCCTGGGCCACCTTGTAGCGGCCTCCCGCGGTGTCCTCTGCAAGTGGGCTCCATGGCCTAGCGCCCCGTCCCTGCCACCCGTGATCGTGCGCCGAGGCCAGGAGGGGTCGCCGCCCAGGCCCCACCAGCCCGCAAGCCAGAGCATGGCGGTCATCCCCTCCAGCGGCTCGCTTGGGGCCACCCACGAGTACTGCCGGCGCCGCCTGGGTTCCACTTCCAGCAACAGCCCCTGCGAGTACCGAGTGCCCCACGGAAGCCATTCCCCACTCTCCGGCTATCCCCAAGGCTGACCCGGGTCACTGGTGGGGCAGCTTCTTTTTCGGGAAGTCCACCCTCGGGTTCCTGGCCACGGTACTGGAGTCTGCTGGGCACCCGGAGCCAACAACCCTGTTTCCCCGCCCACCAAGCCTAGCGCAGCATGACCACCTATGGCCTGGCTCAAGACGCCCCAAGAAAGCAGCCAGGTGGTCAGTCCAGCACAGCCAGCGCTGGGCCCCCGTCCTGACCTGAGCGGTGACCACCAGCCCAAGATCTGCAGAGGCGCTAGGCCACCACAGCCCCTCCCGCACCCCCCCCACCCCCTACCCCTCACCCTGTAGATTAGCTGGGTGCAGCCTCCACATCCACACTGCAGACACGAAAAGGAGTGAGGGCCCCGCTCTCCACGGCCCAGCCTGGCCACAGCACTGAGGAGCTTTCCCCACACCTGCAACTGTGCACCTGGCACCAAGCGGAAAATAAACTCCAAGCAGCCACCAAAAAATAAATTGGAACCCACTCTGACTCTTTGGCCCACAAATGCTTCTCCCTCCTCTGACAGGTAGCACCAATCAGAGATTTCTTGCCTGGTAAACACTTAGGATAAAATGCACAGGCGATTGCTTGAAAAAACTATGGCACAACCATTATCTTTGTCTTCCAATACCTGAATGACAATGAACCTTCCTGTACTTGAAAATAATTCTTCAAGGCTGGGCGTGGTGGCTCACGCCTGAAATCCAAGCACTTTGGAGGCCAAGGTGGGTGGATGACTTGAGGTCAGGATTTCAAGACCAGCCTGACCAATATGGTAAAACCCCGTCTTAAAAAAAAAAAAAAAAAAAAAAAAGAAGAGAAAATAATTCCTCAATTCCCCAGAAAGACCAAAGGATGAACAAGTTTATAATCCTGACAAAAGAGGAAAGAAAGAAAGAAGGAAGGAAGAGAGGGAAGAAGGAAAGAAAGAAAAGGAAGGAGTTATCATTTTGAAGATATGAGGCCCCAATCTTTAGGAAAGTGACTCATGGATATAGAAAAGAGAAACTGTATTTAACAAAAACAAACTCACAGAGCTTATGATCTTGCAAAGCGCTGGTCTGGCCTGGCAGGGTGGATCATGCCTGTAATCCCAGCACTTTGGGAGGCCAAGGTGGGTGATTACCTGAGGCCATGAGTTCCAGACCAGCCTGGCCAACATGGTGAAACCCTGTCTCTACTAAAAATACAAAAAATTAGCTGAGTGTTTCATGTTTGTAGTCCCTGCTACTCCAGAGGCTGAGGGAGGAGAATTGCTTGAGCCCGGGATGCAGAGGTTGCAGTGAGCTGAGATCCTGTCACTACACTCCAGCCTGGGCAACAGAGTGAGACTCTGTCTAAATAAATAAAAAACCAAATAAATATATAAATAGTGCATTACACTGAGTGAGAAAAGCCAGTCTCAAAGGTTATATGCTATATAATTCCATTAATATTATGTTTCCAAAGTGGCAAAATTATAGTAATAAAAAACAGATCAGAAGTGGCCAGAGAGGACAGGAGTT